ACCCCCCCCCCCCCCCCCCCCCCACACCACCGTCACCCGCGACGGCGCGCGCGCGCGGAAACCGCTTCGATCCTCTCCGCGCGACCTCGGCCGCTCTCGGCTTCCTGTCGCTCTCCGCTTCTGTGAAGGGGGATGAAATCCCCCTTGCGACCGACCGAAATGCCGAGATGCGTGCCGGTCCACGCTGCCGCCTCCCCACAGCCGACATTCGTTCTCCCTTCCTTCCACGAGCGGACAAATCCGGGCGTTTACCCGGAGTGAAAGGTCACAGCTGACTTCTTGGCGAGACCTCGCGCGAGATAACGCTTTGATATACGTGCGGATTGAGATGTTCTAATTTGTGTTTACCTCCTTGCAGCTTGAAGACTAGAAAGATCTTATGTTAGTAATGTAATATGCCGATTATTGGATGAGACAAGTGCCAGTATTATTATGTACATATTTCTTTTTAATGATACAAGTTTGTTATACTGAAGCTGTGCTATTGTGAGATTTGTAAATATGTCCAAAATTGGAAATTTTTTATTTACATAAATTTATAATAATTATATAAACATGATTGTGTGCTATATAAAAATATGTATCCCAAAAAAATTAATAATTAATCCTATGTTGGTAATTATATAAATAAAAACACCTTATATTTTTACAAAATTATTCCGACTAATTATAATCCGCGTTAAGTCGACCGCGTACTTAAAACCGAAGCGGCAAATATCTGCTGTAAAATTCGTGGTATATTTTTAAGGTCCATACACACAAATGCGCGACCAGAAGGCATCTTTTTCATCAATCTAAAAGTAGCATAAATATCTGAATTAAAGTATCGATTTTACTAAGAATATAAAAGGGGATAAATAATGAAAATTGTAAAATCACCTGTTTGCTTGATCGCCCAATGATCCAATGAAAATAGCGTAGGAATTCACATCCACATTAGACATCAATACTTTCGCGAACCGTTCGGGACGAATGCCATAACGTTCGAGATTCGCATCCGAGAGAACAACTACAATAGACTCGTCGGAATCTTCTTTCGCCAAACTCGCAATTGCATGTTGCGTCGCTTCCAAGGTATTATCCCCAGACATGCAAAATTGCGAGTGAGCGTGCATCGCCTAAAGAGATTAATTAAAACTTAAATTATAATTAAATTGCACAAGTAATTTTATAAAAGGAACCGACATAAATAAATCTTACCTTAATCACTTCCAACCTTCGTTTATTGTCCGTTGGCGGTTGCGTACGATCGACAAAAGCAATACGATAATCGTCACCGGAATGACCGACAATGTCGTATTGAAATTTTCCCTCGTAGCCGCTGAAAGCCTCCATCACCATGACGCAGGCCTCTAATTCGCGATCCAGTCGGCCGTCGTAACTATTGAACCTGTACATGCTACCGGACACGTCCGCGACAAGTTTCAATCGCTTCGGTTTCAATTGAGGAGCGCCAATCTCCGGCTCTTTCTCCGCTCTACGCCGATAAATTGTTTTCTCGCCCGTTAATCCCTCGATTAATTTCGTATCATCCAGTTCGCCCGACGTCTGATGCCTGCACCATTGTCGCTCGTTGCTCTTGGCCTGCAGCGTACCTATATAAAATAAAGAACGCGTACGATAAAGAACAATGATGTCCTTAAAAGTTCGCGGATGCAGACTTGCAACGCTCACCTAATACGACTCTCAAGGCCTGCACTTGATTATGAACAGCGTCGCTAAACTGACTATACAACTTATGGTCGTATTCGCTCATTTTTATATCCTTGAGCCGCTGCTTAAATGCGCGAAGGCCCATCTCGCGAGCAGCCTTCTTTACATGTTCCGGCACCGCGTTCTTCTCTTCGTCACTGAGTTGATGCACCGTGTGTCCAGCATCCAGTCGATACGGTCCTCCCTTTCCGCCTAAACCTGCCGTATCTCGACCTAAATATATATACATTCTATATTTTATTTTGTAACAGTTGATTGCACGTTGGAATGACATTTAATACAGATGTAATTTCTCTTTAAACTTTATCTCATTTATTATTTTATTTAAATATTTGTATTCACACCTCCGGTTCCCCCGGCCCAGGTATTGCCACCTACGTGTGGTTCGTTATTTTTATCGACCTTGCCGTGCTTCGGGTCGGTGACATCCTGTCCGGAATATCTCTCTTTGGTAATCTGTACTTTCTCCTCGTCGGTGCCTATCATTTTGCGCCAAGCGCCCAATGACTTTTCTATATTCGTGATTGATGTCTCCCATAAACGTACACAGCCACCGGCGTCTATTGTGACGAGACCTTCGTTCGATGTAAGTGACGCATAAAGCGGAAGGTCCTTCGTATATAGCCATTGTGTCAATGGCGAGACATTAACCGGTCTAGTAAAAGATTTAATGATTTTCTCAGTCGCGTTCGATCGGAAACAGATATATACAAAAATAGCACAAGGGGGAAGATATATATTCTATATTATATTTATACATTATTTTTTTTCAACGTAAAATGTGAAATGTGAAAGTTGACAGGTATAAGCTTTGCGAAAACTTGCATTTTTGTTAGCACATATTTATCGTGCTTATCGCAAATTTACTTACTCCGGAATAGGTAAATATCGTAGTTTGTGATTTACTGTATCGACTATCTCTAAATAAGCGGAGATTCCTGTATGTTTTCTATCCTTCGGATAAACTTCATCGGGTACCTGACTGGGCGAAATCGTTCTGATCACTTGTCCGTTCTGCGTAATGATAGGCGTTATAAAGCTACGCGTTCTTTCCTTTCTCGGCCAAAAATGCAGATCGTTGGAACTGTCCAAATCCGGGAAACCTATTACAATGCCGGCATATGTATTATCGGTCACTAATAATCGGTTCGGAGAGTCTATCTTCTGTTGAAGAGCTTTGCTCAGCTCTGTTTTGTGCAGACCGCTTCTACCGCAATTCAAAACGCTACCGGTTTTGAGATCGGTGCTATTAGACTCTTCCAATTCATGCAAGATATTAGGGCATGGATCCGAATTCGTGGATTTCATGAGAACGTATTTATTCTTCGACGTATCCTGAATTAACCATTTTCTATCGGATGCGAGTAAAACCGATTCGATATTACACGATAAATTCATCGAGTAAGCGCACATATTTTGTAAATTGACAGCTTCGATTTTGTTGTGGTTTTGCGTATATAAGACAATCAGATTATGCGACGACAGTAAATCTGTCTTCATCTTCCACTGAGGAGTTTTACTTCTGAAAGCATTTGATAATCTATCGCTGGCAACATCCAAAAAAGATGAAATCTGTAATTCTCGTACGGAACCCTCGTTTATGTTTACCATGAGCATGGAATTACTCTAAAAATAATCACACAAAAGTTGATGAAAAAGCCCTATGTAACAGATATTTGTTAACGTATTACTTACGGTTTCTTCATGTACTATAACATCCCCAAGATTATCAACCGCGACATTATAAAATGGCATATTGCCTCTAGCGGGGCTTATCAAGCCTTGTAACGACGTCTCGCGAATTTGCTCCGATTCCGGCGATATGCTAAATATACTCAAAGGATTCGTGGTGAGAACGTGTATTCTGTCGTCCGTACCATCCCCTTTACTTCCGTTCGCAACCACTAAAGCGGTCACTGTACTATTCTCGCTAATGGGTATTGTCCAGTAACTTTGTAGTTCCGTGAACCAAGCCGATCTGGCTTCAACTCGATCTAGAGTTCGGTCGTTTTGCGCCGGAAATGTCGGTGACTTTAACTTAACATATCTTTCCTGAGCAGGTATATTTTGGAATGCGTTCGAAATTTTCCAACTACCACAGATCTTCATCTCAGGTAAAGATATTCTACAACGGAAAAGAGGGAAGAACATTGTTTGAAAAAAATCGACATTTCATATATCTTTCATATTTTTTTCATTTTTCCTCATATTTTTCTCGCAATCTTATTTATTATCTGTATAAATTCGTACAATAAGTTCGCGTTCTATATCATAAAATAAAAAATAAATTACAAAATTGTTCAAATCAATTAATATGTCTTCCTAATTCTTGTTTACTTAATTAATATATATTTTTTAAAAACTTCAAAATATCAATATGTACAGATTATCTTACTCTTTAGCTAAGGCAACATTGGTTGGACTCGTTCCAACGGGGATCCCATGTTTATGAAGCACAGTTATCAAAGTATCATATACTTCTTGGCTATATCGATCAAAGTCAAAGACGTTGCGCACTACAGTAGCTAACGATTCGTTCGGAAATTTCTACAACATTATTGCGGAAATTATATCGGTGCAATATATATATATATATATATATATATGTGTATTTAAATTGGCAATTAAATTTAGTATGGCCGAGTAATTAGCGCTCACGGAACTCGATAGCCATGTCGATATATATATATATATATATATATATATATATATATATATATATATATATATATATATATATATATATATATATATATATATATATATATATATATATATATATATATATATATATATATATATTATGTAGAAAAATTTCTGTTAACTCACCTCTAAATGTTTAATTATATTAACCACTTCTCGAGTCGAATAAGGATACGACACTAGACCTTGATCGGCCATACTTCTCAGCTCGCCGAAAGCCTTCACTAATTTATGTATCGTCTGTTCGTCTATATGTGGGCCATATTGTCTCAAGAGCTGAATCTCGCTTCGTATACTCGGATTATCAACTGAATGCGTACTGAATAGATCACCCAGAGCGCCGAAGAAATCGTTGCCCAAGAACGGGAAGCCCGGTCTATTTGCCAATACTATCATTCTAAAGTCCGGATGCATAGGAATACTGTTTGAATCGCGTGCGTTGTCACTGGTACGAGAAACGATTCGCCTACCATCCGACAGAATCATTTCGCCCGATTCCACTAAGGTCTGAAAATGAAACAGAATCGTCTGAGAATTCATGGAGTATGTATTGCTATTGTAACTTTACATATGTGTCGTCAAGTACACACTTTCAATATACACGTCACGTGCGTGGGTGCTTTGTCCGCCTCGTCGATGACAAGAACGTGGCCTAGTTTAACCGCTTGCACGAGCGGCGAATCTTCATAAACAACTTTGCCGTCTCTGACCATCGGTTGCAGGGTCAAAGTTTGCACGGTCGTGTCCCGGTGCAACTGTATGTATTCGCGTGGCCGATTTAGCAACTGCAACAATCGATCCATGATCTTATTCTTGCCGACACCCTGATTACCGACCAGCAGAAGATTCTGCCCCAGGCTGAAGTCCTGCAGTAACCGCTCCAAGAGCGCGACATGCTCCGGCACGTCGTAAAACACGATGTCGGGTACTTTGCTCAGAAACGCGGTGCGATATCGGTCTACGACGGTGTCGCCGATCCTCACGGTATCCTTCGTGATCGTGCACGCAACCTCCGAATCCTCCGCGGCAGATCTCGGAAGAACGATGTTCAGTCGACGACAACAGTCCTCGAGAGCCTGTTTCGCGATCGCCGGCAAGAAGCGCGCCAGACACGCGCGTTGCACCGCGTTGTAGGCGTCGTTGCACCGAAATCTGTGCATTCGCTCGGCGATTCGCAAAAGCTGCCGAGTACTCAGCGAACCGGCAAGAGACTGTAGAGTCGGATCCTCGGACGAGCGCAGGACGTGCGCCAATTCTATGATACTCAACAACGCTCGGCTAGGCTCTCCAAACTGCAAAACAAATTACTCGGTGAGAATTTACCGGAGGCTGAATTCTCACGCGTCGATATTTCTCTTCGTGATCACCTTCGACCGGATAATATGAATCTCCTCGTGCTTATCGAGCGGCTTCATCTCATGGAAGAGAAACAAGCTCAACAGCTCGGAATTCAACCATTGCCCGGATGAACTGTTGACAACCGGCGGCTCAGCCAAGGCTATCAGTCTGAAAGCGGGATGAATTCGCAAAACACCACGATCGCGCATCTCCTCGTCGGATCTATTGTATTCTCTCTTTATCTCGTCGTAACGATCGGCTCGTACGATTCGCTTACCATCGTGTAGCTGCAACTCCCGATCGTGGACTAATCTGCGAGCAAATGCGGCGCAAATTTCATTTTATTACCTCGCCAATCGCTAATG